GCCTGGAGTGTCCCTTTATTAATATAAACCCACCCAGTATAACTAAATGTATCCTAACCTACACAGTGCACCTAACGTGTGTGGGAGCCTGGAGTGTCCCTTTAATAATATAAACCCACCGAGTATAACTAACTGTAACCTAACCTACACAGTGCATCTAACATGTGTGGGAGCCTGGAGTGTCCCTTTAATAATATAAACCCAGCAAGTACAACTGTAACCTAACCTACACAGTGCATCTAACGTGTGTGGAAGCCTGGAGTGTCCCTTTAACAATATAAACCCACCCAGTATAACTAACTGTAACCTAACCTACACAGTGCACCTAAAGTGTGTGGGAGCCTGGAGTGTCCCTTTAATAATATAAATCCACCCAGTATAACTAACTGTAACCTAACCTACACAGTGCATCTAACATGTGTGAGAGCCTGGAGTGTCCCTTTAATAATATAAACCCACCCAGTATAACTAACTGTAACCTAAACTACACAGTGCATCATCTAACGTGTGTGGGAGCCTGGAGTGTCCCTTTAATAATATAAACCCACCCAGTATAACTAACTGTAACCTACCCTACACAGTGCACCTAACGTGTGGGAGCCTGGAGTGTCCCTTTAATAATATAAACCCACCCAGTATAACTAACTGTAACCTAACCTACACAGTGCATCTAGCGTGCGTAGGAGCCTGGAGTGTCCCTTTAATAATATAAACCCACCCAGTATAACTAACTGTAACCTAACCTACACAGTGCACCTAATGTGTGTAGGAGCCTGGAGTGTCCCTTTAATAATATAAACCCACCCAGTATAACTAGCTGTAACCTAACCTACACAGTGCACCTAACGTGTGTGGGAGCCTGGAGTGTCCCTTTAATAATATAAACCCACCCAGTATAACTAAATGTAACCTAACCTACACAGTGCATCTAACGTGTGTGGGAGCCTGGAGTGTCCCTTTAATAATATAAACCCACCCAGTATAACTAACTGTAACCCAACCTACACAGTTCATCTAACGTGTGTCGGAGCCTGGAGTGTCCCTTTAATAATATAAACCCATCTAGTATAACTAACTGTAACCTAACCTACAAAGTGCACCTAACGTGTGTGGGAGCCTGGAGTGTCCCTTTAATAATATAAACCCAGCCAGGATAACTAACTGTAACCTAACCTACCCAGTGCACCTAACATGTATGGGAGCCTGGAATGTCCCTTTAATAATATAAACCCACCCAGTATAACTGTAACCTAACCTACAGAGTGCACCTAACGTGTGTGGGAACCTGGAGTGTCCCTTTAATAATATAAACCCACCCAGTATAACTAACTGTAACCTAACCTACACAGTGCACCTAACGTGTGTGGGAGCCTGGAGTGTCCCTTTAATAATATAAACCCACCCAGTATAACTAACTGTAACCTAACCTACACAGTGCATCTAACGTGCGTGGGAGCCTGGAGTGTCCTTTAATAATATAATCCCCACCCGGTATAACTAACTGTAACCTAACCTACACAGTGCATCTAACGTGTGTGGGAGCCTGGAGTGTCCTTTAATAATATAAACCCACCCGGTATAACTAACTGTAACCTAACCTACACAGTGCATCTAACGTGTGTGGGAGCCTGGAGTGTCCCTTTAATAATATAAACCCACCCAGTATAACGAACTGTAACCTAACCTACAGAGTGCACCTAACGTGTGTGGGAGCCTGGAGTGTCCCTTTAATAATATAAACCCACCCAGTATAACTAACTGTAACCTAACCTACACAGTGCACCTAACGTGTGTGGGAGCCTGGAGTGTCCCTGTAATAATATAAACCCACCCAGTATAACTAACTGTAACCTAACCTACACAGTGCACCTAACGTGTGGGAGCCTGGAGTGTCCCTTTAATAATATAAACCCACCCAGTATAAACTGTAACCTAACCTACACAGTGCACCTAACGTGTGTGGGAGCCTGGAGTGTCCCTTTAATAATATAAACCCACCCAGTATAACTAACTGTAACCTAACCTACACAGTGCATCTAACGTGTGTGGGAGCCTGGAGTGTCCCTTTAATAATATAAACCCACCCAGTATAACTAACTGTAACCTAACCTACACAGTGCATCTAACATGTGTGGGAGCCTGGAGTGTCCCTTTAATAATATAAACCCACCTAGTATAGCTAACTGTAACCTAACCTACACAGCGCACTTAATGTGTGTGTGAGCCTGGAGTGTCCCTTTAATAATATAAACCCACCCAATATAACTAAATGTAACCTAACCTACACAGTGCATCTAATGTGTGTGGGAGCCTGGAGTGTCCCTTTAATAATATAAACCCACCCAATATAACTAACTGTAACCTAACCTACACAGCGCATCTAACGTGTGTGGGAGCCTGGAGTGTCCTTTTAATAATATAAACCCATCCAATATAGCTAACTGTAACCTAACCTACACAGCGCACCTAACGCGTGTGGAAGCCTAGAGTGTACTTTAATAATATAAACCCACCCAGTATAACTAACTGTAACCTAACCTACATAGCGCATCTAACGTGTGTGGGAGCCTGGAGTGTCCCTTTAATAATATAAACCCATCCAGTATAACTAACTGTAACCTAACCTACACAGTACATCTAACGTGTGTGGGAGCCTGGAGTGTCCCTTTAATAATATAAACCCACCCAGTATAACTAACTGTAACCTAACCTACACAGTGCACCTAACGTGTGTGGGAGCCTGGAGTGTCCCTTTAATAATATAAACCCACCCAGTATAACTAACTGTAACCTAACCTACACAGTGCACCTAACGTGTGTGGGAGCCTGGAGTGTCCCTTTAATAATATAAACCCACCCAGTATAACTAACTGTAACCTAACCTACACAGTGCATCTAACGTGTGTGGGAGCCTGGAGTGTCCCTTTAATAATATAAACCCACCCAGTATAACTAACTGTAACCTAACCTACACAGTGCATCTAACATGTGTGGGAGCCTGGAGTGTCACTTTAATAATATAAACCCACCCAGTATAATTGTAACCTAACCTACACAGTGCATCTAACGTGTGTGGGAGCCTGGAGTGTCCCTTTAATAATATAAACCCACCCAGTATAACTAACTGTAACCTAACCTACACAGTGCATCCTAACGTGTGTGGGAGCCTGGAGTGTCCCTTTAATAATATAAACCCACCCAGTATAACTAACTGTAACCTAACCTACACAGTGCATCAACGTGTGTAGGAGCCTGGAGTGTCACTTTAATAATATATATAAACCCACCCAGTATGTAACTGTAACCTAACCTACACAGTGCATCTAACGTGTGAGCCTGGAGTCCCTTTAATAATATAAACCCACCCAGTATAACTAACTGTAACCTAACCTACACAGTGCATCCTAACGTGTGTGGGAGCCTGGAGTGTCCCTTTAATAATATAAACCCACCCAGTATAACTAACTGTAACCTAACCTACACAGTGCATCCAACGTGTGTGGGAGCCTGGAGTGTCCCTTTAATAATATGAACCCACCCAGTATCAGTAACTGTAACCTAACCTACACAGTGCACCTAACGTGTGTGGGAGCCTGGAGTGTCCCTTTAATAATATGAACCCACCCAGTATCAGTAACTGTAACCTAACCTACACAGTGCATCCAACGTGTGTGGGAGCCTAGAGTGTCCCTTTAATAATATAAACCCACCTAGTATAACTAACTGTAACCCAACCTGCACAGTGCATCTAACGTGTGTGGGAGCCTGGAGTGTCCCTTTAATAATATAAACCCACCCAGTATAACTAACTGTAACCTAGCCTACACAGTGCACCTAACGTGTGTGGGAGCATGGAGTGTTCCTTTAATAATATAAACCCACCCAGTATCAGTAACTGTAACCTAACCTACACAGTGCATCCAACGTGTGTGGGAGCCTAGAGTGTCCCTTTAATAATATAAACCCACCTAGTATAACTAACTGTAACCCAACCTGCACAGTGCATCTAACGTGTGTGGGAGCCTGGAGTGTCCCTTTCATAATATAAACCCACCCAGTATAACTAACTGTAACCTAACCTACACAGTGCATCTAACGTGTGTGGGAGTGTCCATTTAATAATATAAATAATATAAACACAAATAAAATTTAGTCCAAATGGGCTTTTGGAAAATAACATGAATGTCATGTTAATATAATGTTAATATTGTTATAGTAAACATTTCTTAATGTAGCCATTTCTTTCATATAAATTGTAAATCAACTTTGATGAGTTAGCATTGTATTTACATTTCCAATATATATCCGTCTATCATCTTTAGCAAAAATAAATCAATCTTGTTCTCACTGGTTTAACCATGTTTATTTTTCTCTTGAATCCGTGTACATTTTCATCATCCTAGAATTAATATGGCAAATGAACAATTTATTTAAAAAGCCGAATGAGTGGTTACTCATGAGCAAGCAAGGTCAGAAACCTTGGTTATCAGAAGCTATGCCAAGGATAAGTAGAAAATCAGTCACCACTCGTTGACGGATCAGGGTCTTTTTGTGGTTTTAGAAAATCTGAAAGTGATGTCGTAGTTTGGAAGATAGTATTTTTATTTTTTTTTCACACGCAGTGTTGTCTTATTAAAAACTCGACCGGTGACGATAAAGTTGCGTGTTTCAGTACTGGCACGAGAGAATAGGGTGTACTGTTTTGAGGAGAAAGAATTGTGCCTTCTCTCTTAATCACGGAAGATCCAATGGCCTCTACTTGGAGTAGACTCATCCACCTAGAAGGTGTCTTCGAGTTTGTACAAACACTGCTCAGAGAAAAGAGATTTCCTCTCCAAATCGTGACCCTGTGTGTTGGAAATTCCACCTACAGGACACTGTGTTCTTTGCAGTTTATAGGGTGTGATTGCTCATCATGTCTTTTCTCAGTTCCTGAGGTTTCCAGTGTATATGGAGAACCAAATGAGAATACAAAAGTAAAACAAATATAAAAGACCGTTACCTGGTGGCCTTGGTGGTCCTTCCAAGAAAGCCACTGCTCTCCATTTCGACTATAGTCTACTCTGTAGGACCGGGCAAATTCCTTGCCGGTGGCCCTTGCGTGACGTCCTTGGGTTCCAATAAGTGTGACAAAGAATAGCTTGTGGAGATCGATCTGCAGGAATTGCACGTCCTCTGGCTGTAGCAGACCAGCTGGGCACCATGCTCCATCGCCTTCCTCCCTTTGCAGTCTGTGGAAACAGAATATTACCACAAATACATTGTATCCAGCGTTATTAACATTATAACAGTTCTGGGTGATACCAGTCACCTACAGCTTCAGTGAATACATAGCAGGACTATGGCACACGCGGGCCTTAAATATACATACATACAGACATATATTATAAATACATTAATATGTACACACACAGACACAACACAGAAGGAAAGATTAGACCAAGGATTGAATCTGCTCATATGAGAATGAATTTCCCATTCTTTGACAACAATCTGTTTGTTTACCGCATGCTATTATACCTTGCGTACTGCGGTCCAGTTGACTCATACCATTGACTGGATGCAGTAATATCCTCATCGCGTATTGTCCTGTCGTGCATTCCCAGAGCGTATCGACATATTGCTGAAGGTACAAGGATGGGCAATTATTAAAGAGAGAGTTTTTTTGGAGCAACGCAAGGTTATTTGTATGTACATTTTTATAGGGAGCCCGGTTTGTAACAGAAAGGCCAGAAAACATCTCTGTGTGTGTGCCTGTGTTTCTATCTGCTATGTCTGTTACTATCAATTTACCTGTCTTGTCTGTCCATCTCTGTCTGCCTGCATTGTGACTGTCTACTTTGCCTGTGTTGCTCCGACCGACTGTCTGATCTATTTGTATCTCCCTGTCTGCATCGTTTCTCCCTGATTTGTCTGTGTCTGTCTGCTTCTTTTGTTTGCGTCGCTCTGACTGCCTGCTTTGTCTATCACTCTGACTGTCTGCATGCTCTGTCTGTGTGCCTACAGTATACATGTTGCTATGACTGCCTGATATGTCTGTGTCTCTCTGTCTGCTTGCTGTGTCTGTCTGCCAACTTTGTCTGTGTTTATTATCTGTCTATCTTCCTGCATTGCTTGTATCCGTCTGCCTTTTCCTTGTCTTTTTTGTCTTCCTGTTCTGTCTGTCCATCTGTCTGATATGTATGTATGTAACTTGTTCTTTTTTGTTTCTTCTAAAATTATCCTTTGTATTGGGAATGTGAATTTTCTCCTGTATGTACCCTACTTCTTTGGGGCAGTAAGATATCTGTGTGTATGTGGGGTTACCAAGTGACCACAAATAACAAGGTAACATTAGGCTCCTTACAAGGAATGACTTCAGCTTTGGAACCTCCAGTTAGAAGTGCGAGAGACAGCAAGCAGAGAAACATTCTGGGGGGCCAGGAAGGTGGGGGGACGTCCAGCGAGCTCCAGTGCGTCATACACCTACATTTCTACAGAGGAAACAACAATATGCAGATCAATAAATTCCAATAAAGTAAATGTGACAGCTTATGGCCAGATGACACATGGGAACCTGTTAGTGCAGCAAAGAGGGTTTACTACACACCCCTAAACTACTAACAGGGGGCGGGGGTTTCCAATTGGGAAAATAATCATAGTCTGTATTTATAATAAATTCTAGCTTACACTTTACAGTTCCCTGATCACTACTAGACTGTAAGCTCGTTTGATCAGGGTTCTCTTCAACCTATCGTTCCTGTAAGTTTTTGGAATTGTCCTATTTATAGTTAAATCCCCCCTCTTATAATATTGTAAAGCGCTACAGAATACGTTATAAATGTCGCTAATAATAATAATAATAATACGGAATAATTAGAATTTGTTAAACTGTGTTGCACATTTTTGTCCACTTGGTGGAAGCAAATCCCTCTATTTAATTTGAATATGGGAATGAATGCAACTCATAACCCGGGGAGGTTTGGGTTATCGATACCTTTCATTTCATAGAAAGGAATATGCAAAATGTATATTGATAGCTGTGTACATAGCATAAACTATTCACCTGTGCTCAGGCAGTGATATAATTAATCAATGCAGTTGTGCTAAAGCAGGGATACCATGAAAGTCTTCATTTGTGTCATTTAGAGTTTTTACCCTTTTCAGGTTAAAGTCCCTTGTCCTCCTGCACAGCTTATAAATTCCATGATTTAAAAAAAAAAACTGCTAAAATCATGCTCCCTCTGTCACGGACAGCACAGAACGAAGTTTTACTTTATCCCTCTGTCACGGACAGCACAGAATTAAGTTTTACTTTATCCCTCTGTCACGGACAGCACAGAATGAAGTTTTACTTTATCCCTCTGTCACGGACAGCACAGAATGAAGTTTTACTTTCTTCTCATTGTCGAGTCCCCATAAAACTTGCACATGTGGCTTGTACACACCGGACAGATGCACGTCACACCAGTCCTGAATGCAGCAGAGCGGTTAATATTCATAAAATTATTGTCAGATTAAATCATTCAAACATCTGTCAAGTTTCCACTTCCCTTTTTGTTAGATTTTACACTTCCCTCTTTGTGTTTTACAGGAATATCATACAGTTGCTGTGTGGCACTGATTAGACCATGCTATTCTGTGGAATTCGCCGACGCCGTAATCTGTAATACAGACTCCCACAACCCCAACATCTACTGTTTGTTATCCTTCCATCTTACCATCCATTTGTTCGCCTTTCCATCTATTCACCCTTTTATATGTCCACTGATCCATCAACCAATCCATCATTTTGCTCGTCCATCTATCCACGGATCCATCAACCTGTCTTTCCACCCATCTATCCATACATCTGTCTGCCTATCCATCTATCCACGGATCCATACATCTGTCCGCCCATCCATCTGTCCATGGATCCAGCCACCCATCGGTCCGCTCCTCCATCTATCCACGGATCCATACATCTGTCCACCCATCCATCTATCCACGGATCCAGCCACCCATCGGTCCGCTCCTCCATCTATCCACGGATCCATACATCTGTCTGTCCGTCCATCTATTCACTCATCCATTCATCTGTTCCCCCATCCATCTGTCCACAGATTAAGCCACCCATCCATCTGCTATCCACTGATCCATTCAACCGTCCATCCAGCTATCCATTCATTAGATTATATCATATTAAACACAGGTTATGCCACTCTGTGGTTGTATTTACCTTAGGTTCAGGTACAACACTCTAACACGCAATCTTTCATCGTCTGCTCGTGGAGGTTTGGGATGGAATACCCATCATTGTGTTGCTTTTTGATCATGTTATGATTCTGTGGAAAGTTAGCATTCCAGAAACTGTCTTGTGAGTTTCAGTAATACAGACCACATGGGCACAGCCTTCTGTTTGTCCTCTGAGCACTGCGGGCTGGGGCCAGATAGGTGTAAGTGGGATGATTTGATCTGAAGATTGGTGTAGGAAGGATGACAGGACAAATGCAATAGCTTTAGAAACACTCATGTTTATTGAGGTCCCCAAAGTGAACTGAACAATGTTTCCACCCTACAATGGGTCTTCCTCAAGAATTTGAGAAAGACCTATTTTTAGGTCAAAACGCTGATCACTGTGGGCTGTGGAATAAATTTGAGTGTTTATTCACCTATTGATATGTGCTGGACATTTTTCGTTTTGGATTCAACATTGAATGGTTATGGAACTTTCAAGGAGTGCGAACAAACATATGGTAGGTTTATTAGCACCCCTCTCTACTAAATCTCAGTCCCCCCCCACCATATACTAAATCCCAGTCTTCCCCCTCTACTAAATCCCAGCAACCCCTTCTAGCCAACTGTAACATATTCCTCCTCACCTTGTGGTATTTGCGCCCAGCGGCCGTGCGTCTGTGTTACCGACTCTTGCAGCATGTTAATGGATGCCGGCCATGCCAAATATACCCCCACGTCCGCCCGAGTTAATGATAACATCGGCGTGCGCAAGACGCACGCACACGTTTTGGGGTCAAAGGCCGTTCAATGGCCAATCAGAAATGTAAAGCACTTATTTAAGATCAAATGTACTTTTCCTCGTTGCCCTGTAGTGGCACCCTGTGCCAAATCTGATCCTCCCGCTACTGCTTGAAACCCTGTGACAGTGGAGCACGTCGATGTCACGTCGGAATGTGACGTGGCGTTGCGTGCCTCCATGCACCTCCAGGTACTCCACTGTCCAGTAGCAGCCAATGCAACGCTGACCAACACACACACTCACTGACACACTGACAGACACACACACATTCACTGACAGACACACACACTCACAGAAAGACACAGACATACACATACACACACTCACTGACACACACACACATTTACACATTCTTGCACACACAATTTTCTTTATTGCTCCCTACCTGATGTGGGTACAAAATAGGGGCTGTCAGGGCTTCCTCCTCTATTGATGGATATTTTACAGGTATGGAATTATCTTCTGCAAAATGTCTTACATTTGGTTTTATCACAGCAGCATAATCTGAGATATTTATTAAACAGGGAAGGGAACAGGTCAGGAATTTGCAAATTTTGCCAAAATCACTGAATTAGACAAAATCTCAGCTATTTTGCTAGTTTGGCCATTTTGAAATCAAACTTGCAATTCCTTTTTCAGTTGAGCACTTAGTGAGTAAATCCTCTGTTTAATGTGAATAACAGGAATAAACACACAATGGTATGGGTTCAGGGGACCTTGCAAACTAATAAACAAGCTGACATGGTTGTGAAGTATTTTGGGAAAACAGATGTTTAGTAACATGACTCCTTTGAGATTTCCTAATGATTTTGCAATATAGTCAACAAGCGGGGCTTTCTGCAGGCTACACATTCCTATCTCTCTCTACATGAACCTCGCTATTGGGGATGTATGGAGAGGGCTTACCCAAGTGGCACTCTGGACTTTTTGAATAACTGGTAGTGGGGTGTCAGCATGTGAATAGGGCTGGATCCTCCATTATGAGTGTTTTATGTACAGTAAGTACTGATCTCCACCACACTCCCAAATTTCATATGAGCAGGGGCAAAATTTAAACTAATTTACCAATGTTTAACTCCTTCAGGGACAGCAGTATGTATGGACTATCGTAACAACAAGGGATTTGCTTACCATGGGTCGTATACAGTTTAAACGCAGTGCACATATTTCTTATATATAGTTTCTGTCTTAGGGGAGCTTAGCTCAATATATTAAGCTACTGTTCCTCTCCAGGTGGCAGGAGTCCTAATGGACACTACTCGTAGCAGATATAGGGGACGAGAGTACCGTTGGACCCTCTTTTCCAAATCCAGATGGAGGGAGTACTGTTGGACATTCTTTTTACAGATTCCGATAGCAGCAGCAATATTTGAGGAGGAAGACGTGGTGTTTCTGTGCTGCTTAACATGGTTGTGGTTTGTGATTGGGATGACTGGTAATCTAGTGAGGTCAAGTATGAAGATCTGTGCTTGTGACGGTGCAGATTTCTCTCTCTTTTTGCTCCCGTGTATGTCCGTTTTCAGTAATGCATGGAGTCAAGGTTTGAGATCTGAGCTACTGGAAAGTAAAAAAAAAAAAAATATTCTTTGCCACTGGCGGCTGTAGGAATGAGAGAGGGCTGTGTGACAGCAGTGAAAGAGAGAGCTTGATATCTCATTAGGAATCTGGGGAGAAGAGAGCCATGAGTGCCACAGGTGGAGAGATCTGTGCCTCTACAGGCGGCAGGAGCAGAATGTAGCAGGAAGGAGAGATCCGTGCCTCTACAGGCGGCAGGAGCAGAATGTAGCAGGAAGGAGAGATCCGTGCCTCTACAGGCGGCAGGAGCAGAATGTAGCAGGAAGGAGAGATCTGTGCCTCTACAGGCGGCAGGAGCAGAATGTAGCAGGAAGGAGAGATCTGTGCCTCTACAGGCGGCAGGAGCAGAATGTAGCAGGAAGGAGAGATCTGTGCCGAGGGAAGTTAGAGATCCTTGCCTCACAAGGGAAATCTGAGCCACCAACAAAACAGAGAACATAACAGCTCTCCCTGGAGAGAAAAGACCAGAGCCCCAGGCAGCAAGAGAGATCGGTGTCACCAGTGGGAGCAGGAATTGGTACGTGGACAAGTAGGAGATGAAAGACACAAGCCCCTATTGATACACAAGAACCTATTAGCGTATTGACCTCAGGTAGACAGCCAGACTGAGAATGATGGGGCTGTATCCTTGTTAGGGGAGTAAGGATGTATCGTAGGTGATGGAGGTTTCCGGACTGGTGCTGCTATTTTATAACATTTTTACCGCCGTAGACCTTGAAAAGAGTGGCACCCGGGTTGACTATGCGTTTCAGTATGTGATTGAGGGAGAATTCATCTGTCCGAGCATGGACAAAGAGGGACACTCTTCAAATGGACAAAGAGGGACACTACAATTTTAGGGGTGTAAGTGGGTTTGGCCACTCTTTTGAGTGTGAGCGGGGTGTGTCCAAGGGCGGGGCTGTTCTTAGTGTGAGTATGGGTGTGAGTATGGGCTGCTGTGACT